GGTGCCGAGGGGAGTGGGGAGGGGACACGCTGCAGACTCTTGAGAGGTGGGGCCTCACGGTCACTGGGAGCGTGGCCGCAAAGCAAAATGTGGGACCCCACACCTCTCTTCTCCCCTCTCTCCTTCCTGGCTCAAGATGTGATTCGACTATGAGCTAAATATACTTTTTCTCCTTATAAGTTCATTGCCTCGGGTATTTCTTTATAGCGACAGGAAGCTGACTGATGCCAGATTTTGGTTCTGAGCAATGGTAAAACTTTCCTATTTGCATTATCCTATTATGAATGCATCAGCGCCTATGTGCACATGCCGCTGAAGACTTTCTACATCAAGCTAGTCTAAGCTGCCATCATTGCAAACATACATCTTCCGTGAAGCCATTAAAACTCAAGGAGAAGAAAAGAAACAATGTTGAGAATGAAATTGCATGATAATTCTTGAAGAGCAAAAAGATGTTAACTTGAATTTATACTGAGGTATATGAATTTCCTTGAGTCTGACTCCAATTCGTTTTTACTATTCCATGAATACAGAACTATCTAGTATTTAAACTATTATCCTGAGGAGATAGATATTACAGTCAGGCAAAGTATAAAAATGAAGCTCAAACGCAGCACCACCTAGTGGCTTCTTACTCAAATTACAAGAACAGCGCCAGAGGCCGTAACAGCATGTAGGACCCTCCTTGCAAATCCCAGTCTATGAAATGATGACAGATGCACTGTTTTTTTCTGTCTAGCCATGATACTCTGAGGCACGAAGAAGTTTTGACGTCATCTAGGCCATTCGTTCACAGCTGGCCAGAATGTACTTTTTTTTACATTTCCCTGCCTTATGACAACTTAAATTATTGCTGGCTTGGGAGAGACTGGCCCTCCTAGGCTCTCCAGTGCTTAGGGACGGCCAAGGGCTTGGCCAGGCACATGGTTTCATATGCATAGCAACCAATCCTGATTCCACAGCTCCAACTATCCCCTTATTTAATTCTTATACCAAGTCAGGGTTAACACTGGATTAAACCACCCCATGGCCAGGTACCAGGCAACTAGAGAGCTTTTTATAATCCAGAAATGCCTCGAATTATTCAAGTTGTCTGGTCACAACCTGTTTACTCTGCCTGGCCCTTCCTTTCCATTTCTGCTGAAAGAACCCCCAAAAGGCTTTGGCCTGGCTTCCTCCCCACCTATCCACTCCTGTCCTTGGCCAGCAATCCAATCCTGGGCTTCCCTGGAGCCCTGCATGGCACGGCCTGTCCCTTTCTCTTGGGAGATACAAAGAATTCAACTCTTTCAGGCTGGGGTATAGCTTGGTGGTAGAACTCTTTCTAGCATACGCAAGGCCTTGGGTTCAATCCTTAGCACCCCCCCCATAAAACTCAAAATAAAACCAAACAACCAAACAAAAAATCTTTTAATGGCATTGCCTGTCTGTGTTGTCACTCAGTTACCTCAAAAATTTAGAATTCTGTGGTTACAAATGAGACACAGGGCTCCACTGAACTCACCTCACCCCAATTACAGGTAGAACAGAAAATTATCCAGAAAATGTCTCCATTTTACTTTTTGCTCATATGTACCATTTTTGGTGCATGTGTCTTTTTTGGGCAAAGTAACAAATTTGGGCTGTAAAACAGAGAGGGGGAACAGGGGAGGAAGAGAAAGGACAGTGCCTACGTGAAGGGGTCCCCAGTCCTGAAAAGCTGTCATTTCTTTTCTCCTGCAGCTGTGGAATCATGAGCCTCTTTTCTTGTGTTGCCTCCCAAATTTGGTTCTGTCTATTGCAAGAGATGGTTTCAGAGTGAAGCTAATAGCTTACATTTTAAGACCATCACTTGCACTGTGCCTCCTCCAAAGATTATACCTCATTTTGTATTTGCAATATGTATCCTTTTCACTAAGGAGTCTTAAAATTGTGTGAGCTTCATGCCCTACAAACACTGAGCAGGTGAGGGGGCATATACCTCTGAAAACCCCAGATGGGAGCCCAGTTCTCCGTCCAACCATCTGGGCCCCTGTGTCCTTATCTCTAAAAGGAAGGGCTAAAAAGATTGTCTTCAGTTTCTTTTTTTCTCCTTAGTTGCATCCTGCTCCTAGCAGTGGGATTGAATCCGGGGCCTTCTCAGTAAGCTACGTCCCTGTTCTCTTCTAATTTTTAAAATTTTGAGACGGAGTCTCACTAAGTGGCTAAGTTTCTCAGGCTGGGCTTGAACTTATGATCTCCCTGCCTCAGCCTCCCAGAGTACAGGAATTGCAGGAATGCGCCACCATGTCCAGCAAATGCATTCTTTTCTGTACACACTAATAAAATGTATGGTATTGCCTAGCATAGGGCTGCTGGGCTCACTTTGTACATGGATTCTTTTTTCCAGTGCCAGTTATGTATGAACCCAAGACCTTGCATATACTATGCACATTAGCTTTGTACAAATGCTAGGAGTCCTGAAAAAATACCTGGTAAAAATAAGTTAGTTCTTAACTGTACATGAGCTAATGAAGATTCAAAAATAGAGCAAAGCTTTTGCAATGATAAGGCCTAGCACCAGGGCTCAGAGTGATATTACAACTTGATGTCGGCATAGAATTGGACATATGGTCATTGGCCTGGGCTCCAGCCTACCTATGCCAGGCTTTCACATGTCTTTGGATAAGTCATTGAGCATAGCTGGACTTGTCTTTCCACAGCTGAGCAAGGGGATTGGTGGGCCAGGGGATCTCTGACAACCCCTCTGTCTCTTGCCATATCTGATTCCATCTGCCTCTCTTACCTCCGCGTTCCCTGCTGCCTTAGTCACTTTCTTGTCACTGAGACCCTACACCCAAGACTTAAAGGAGGAGAGGTTTGTCTGGCTCACACTTTCAGTCTCTGGTCGGCTGCTCCAAGGCAGAAATGGCACGGCAGCGGGGCCTGGCAGGGGAGAGCTGCTCACAGCACGGCAGCCAGGAAGCAGCGAGAGAAGGGAGGAGCCAGAAAGGGAGAGAAACCCTTCCAGGTCATACCAGTGACTGCCCTTCCAATCAAACCCAACTTTCCAACAGCAAGTCAGCCACAGTACACCCATGAGTCAATCTTCCAAACCTTCCAAAAGCCCGGCCCATGAGCCCAGAAGGCCTCTCTCTGAGGGACATTCTCGATCCAAACCAGGACAACTGTTGTCCCAAACTCCCTTCCAGTGCCTAGATAATCTATGTCAGCCCAATGGAGGAGAGGAGAGGAAGGGAAGAGGAGACTAAGAAGGGAGAGCACTGGGCACTGCACAGGAAGATGAGGGGCAGGTGCAGAGATGGGTGATGCCCTGGGACCCGGGCACACACTCCTCCCACACATGCACACTCTGTGCCACCATTGCTGCAGAGGGGAGATGCCACCTCAGGTCTTCCGCTTGACTGGCTACTCTGAGTCATGCATTTTATTTGCCAACTGACCTTTCCAATCATCAGTTCCACTACCCATGGACTGAAGGCAAACTCCCCACCTTAATTTTAACTATTGGCCAATATTTACTGAAGGGTTACAAGGAACCAAGCACTACACTAAATGTTTACGTGAATTATCTCTAATCTTGATTTTCTAGGGAAGTCTCAATCGGCATAGCCACTTTATAAGGTGAGGAAATGGAGGCTTTATGAGGTCATTTGCCCAAGGTCACCGTGGGTGAGAGCCAGGCCTGGAAGCCAGGCAGTACGTGTATCTTTGACCACCCTCAGATCTACGGACTCTTCTCAGCCAGTCCACTTGTGACTGACCAACCTACACACACACACACACACACACACACACACACACACAGCTATTCTATCTGATTCTTAAATCAAACCATGTCCTCAAAGAGAACTCCAGGCGTCCTCTTCTAGGCTCCTTTTGGAACCCCTGGGCCTCACATTTTCCATTTGGGCTTCTTTTTCATGCCTAACACAGAGCCCTCTACTAAAGAGTGTTCCATAAATACGTGTCAAGCACATAAACACTGACATACCCAGAGAAAGCACACCGGAAGTGTGAGACTCTTCGGAGAGGAAGCTGGCTGAAGGTCCCCAATACGCCAAGGACATGGCCCAGGCCTTTCCTGTGGAGTGAACAGCTCGGGGAAAAATGCTGAGTTTTCTGTGAGGAGCAAGTCCAAATTTCCAGTCACTCCTGTCCAAGCAGCACAAATGCACCCAGAGCTGGTGTGAGGAGATCTGGGCTGAGGGCACAGGAGGGCACCCTGGGCCTGATAGGAAGGGGAGCAGTGCTTTTATTGAGCACCTACTTCCTGCCAGCCAATGTGCTGCATTTTCACAGGTGCCCGTGCCCATGAAAAGGGGCATTTGGCTCCCCCATCGTCCCTGCCCTCTTACTCAGGGCGCTCCTAGGTCTGCCCTGCTATGAGGGCTTTATGCTGTTTTTGCCCGTCCCAAGGGGCTGTTCCCCGTCCTAATGCATGAAGCAGAAGGGGCAATGAAAACTTCAAGTTGAGTGACCCCGGGTTCAAGCAGCTTCCCGCTAAACACATAGAGATGGTTTCTTCCTATTTTAAGGAATCAGCTCCATTCTGGGGAGAGCCACTTCAATTCTGTGCATGCATGCTGAATATTTACTCTCACTGACAACCAACAGGGAGCAGAAAGGGAAGGTACAAGAAGCCAGCGAACATCAGGAGACCCGGAAGCCCATTGGACTTCATTAATCAGAGTTTTTCAGAAATGAATTCAGCACTGGTTTGAGTCTGCATTAGAAGTTCACATTATCTGTTCACGGAAGACCTCCCTGGATGGGGTGGAGAATGTCCTCCCCCAATTCAAAATCCATAACAGAAACACCAAAGAGGGTCATCTGAACAGAGAGGTTGCTCTGCTGATTTGTCCGTAATGCTATCTCGGTTAAACTGGAACGCCAAAATAAACTTCCGAGACAACGCCTGTACTTGTAGGGCAGGGCGCTGCCCTGCTCCCCACTCAGCTGCAGGTGAGCCCTGGCCCCCAAGCCCCGCAGCCCCATCCGGACCCCACGCCCCCGCCTACCTGCTGGGCCACCTCGAGGAAGAGCTCCCGCGCCGGAGCCCCCTGGGCCATCCTCCCGGAGACTGTGTCGGAGCGGGACCTGGAGCCCCCCGCTGGAAGGTCGACGCTGCCCCTGTAGTCCCTGTCCCTTCAGTGTGGGGCTCAGGGATCTCACTCCTCCCGACCCGGTGCGCCTTAGGGACCCTGTCCAGGGCGAGGCGCGAGGAGTGTTCGAGGTGAAGTAGGGGGCGCGGGACCGGCAGGAAGGGTGCCGGTGTCAGCCCGCCGG